AAAATTTATATTAATGTCAATTGTGTAGGCATCTTTGATAAGTCTTATGGAAACTATTAGTTCTACTAATGTTCATTATATTAGATGCATAAAACCAAATGAAGCAAAGGTTGCTTGGGAGTTCGAACCCCAGATGGTTCTCTCTCAACTACGCGCTTGTGGTGTATTGGAAACCATTAGGATCAGCTGTGCCGGCTACCCATCCAGACTAACGTTCGATGAATTGGTTCAAAGGTTTATATTAGAAAATGCCGACTTGCCTCTTATATACAACTTTGTTGATAAATTCTTTAATTGACAGATATTACATGCTCATCCATTCTGACAAGTGGAGCTTAGAAACGCGCAAGTTTTGTTCTATGATACTTGATTCTTCAATTAAAGAACAGGACAAGTACCAGATGGGTATCACAAAAATATTCTTTCGTGCTGGAATTGTGAGTAGTTCGATTTAGCAAGTTGTAACAGTCGTGCGAAAACTAATAATCATGCCTCTTGTTCGTCTATAGGTGGCATTTTTGGAGAAACTTCGTCAAGACAGACTTAATGAGTGTGTTACCCTAATGCAGAAGAACATGCTTAGACATATGCATCAAAAGAGATATCGAGCCCTGTTGTCGGCAATTGTAAAAACTCAAGCGCTTTGTCGCAAACGACTAGCTATGAAAGAGCGCGAGCGTCTTCGCCGCGAGAAAGGAGCTATTACAATTCAGAAAAATTGGAGATCACATAAGCAACGTCAACGTTACATTTCCACTAAATCGGTCATTCTTAAGATGCAGACAGGTACGCATAGGGGTTTTCCAAACTATTATTATGACAATAGGCTTTCAACTAATTAACCTTAATGCAATAGTCGGTCGTGGTGCGTTGGCCAGACGGAAGTATGAAGCTTTGCGTAGAGAAGCTGCCGCCATTAAGATCCAGAAAGTCTATCGCGGCTGGTAACTAAAAAGTCTAATTTTTTGCATTTGCGAATGATAGGTTATTAATTTATTCTGAATTCTATTACAGTGTCGCTCGTCGTCAATATAAAGATACACTCAAGCATATTATTTACATTCAGTCATGTCTTCGTCGACGCATGGCACGTGCTGAGCTTAAGAAGTTAAAGATAGAAGCACGTTCTGCCACCCATTACAAGGAGATCTCTTATAGATTGGAGAATAAGGTGATTGAACTAACACAGTCCCTTGAGCAAAAGATAAAGGAGAATAAAACTCTCGAAACGAGAAATTCCAATTTGGAAGCCCAAGCTCGAACTTGGGCCGATAGAAAAGAGAAACTTGAACTTGAAAACAAAGCGCTCAAGCGAGAGACTGAGATGGCTACGGTATCTATCAGTGGGTTTAAGACGCTCCAAGAGGAGAACCAAACAATTGAGGCCCGCTATCGAACTTCCTTGGAGAAAATCAAGTCACAGGACACACAAATCGAGAACCTTACCAACGACCTGAATAAGAAAGACGATGAAGTTGCCAAATTACGTGCAACTGTTACTAAATATAAGGGCACAGAGGATCCTGCAACTGTCCTGGCTCTAAAACAAGAAATTGCCGCTCTTCGAGAACAGTTAACAAAACTTAAGACTGCTAGAGGGACGTCACCGCCTCCTCCACAACAAAGACTTGAGAATGGCTTCTTGACTGCTGCCAGCACATCTTTGAAACCTCCGTCTACAAAGCGGCGTGGACGAAGGCACAGTTCTGCAGAATCTTGGGGACCTAACGAGATTGCAAAGCAAAAGCCCAAAACGTCATTGGATTTAGCAACCGCGGAAGCCAAGAAGGGAGGTTTAAGACCCGTATCAGTATCATACATGCAGCCTGTTCCAAAACTTCGTTCTGGAGGACGTATTCATTTGCCTGGCACCGAGGAACCTGAAGAAGAGGTTAGTTATATGAGATCCAAATAGTCTTACGCGTTCTGGATTACTGACGAGACTTTATTATCCAGGTTATGAAATTACTCGAGGACGAAGACACCCTCGATGAGGAAGTCATTAATGGACTAATAACATTACTAAAAATACCATTGCCAAGCTTGCAAAATCCTCCGCATAGAAAAGAAATATTATTCCCAGCCCGTTTGATTAGTCTCTTGGCGCAGCAAATGTGGAAATTCGGTTTCATTAAGGAGTCCGAGAGATTGTTTGCCAATGTCATGAAAACGATTCAAAGCCATGTTATGGTAGGCGGGAGTTTGGTTGTTCAATTCAATGTTAGGAGGAACAATCGTTAAATAATTTCTAACCATTTTATTATCAAATCACTTTCGAATTTTTAAATAACAGGATACGCAGGGTGAGGATGCCATTTTACCAGGAGCATATTGGTTGTCCAACGTCCACGAGCTGTTATCATTCGCAACAGCTGCCGAAAATGATATGCTTGCTGGAGTGAACCCCGCTGCAGACTCTCATGGAAGGGTCTTTGAATGGCACGATTATGAGAGACTGGTTTCAATAGTAAAGCATGACTTGGAGAGCTTGGAATACAATATTTATCACACTTGGATGAAGGAACTGAAGAAGCGACTATATAAGATGGTTATACCCGCTGTTGTTGAAAGCCAGTCTTTGCCTGGATTCATCACGACAGAGGGACGATTGTTTACCAAATTTATCGGAGGACAGACCAGTCCAGCATTCAGTATGGATGATTTGTTAAACTTCCTTAACAAAGTCTGGAAGGCAATGAAGTCTTACTATGTTGAGATGACTGTCATTCAACAAGTTGTCACAGAGCTATTGAAACTGATTGGTGTGACTTCGTTTAACGACTTGCTAATGAGGTAAGACAATAGTAATTGATTGAATTCTATAACAGTACGTCCTTTTTTTAAAAAAAAAAATGTTTGCCTTTTCTGTAAACGCAGACGTAACTTCTGCTCATGGAAGCGAGGTGAGTTTTATGCAAGTGCTTTTTGTTAGTATATGCATAAGTTAACGCTAATATCCTATATTGAAGCAATGCAAATCCAGTATAATATGACACGAATCGAAGAATGGTGTAAGAGTCATGAAATGCCAGAAGGAACATTACAGTTGGAGCATCTAATGCAAGCTACGAAATTATTACAGCTTAAGAAGGTAAATCACGTATTCGTGCATGCAAATACTTGTTTCGTTTATTAACCTAATGTTGTTGTTTTTTTAATTACTGTGAAATTAGGCATCGCTAAGCGATATTGAGATAATTTACGATGTCTGCTGGATATTGACTCCAACTCAAATCCAAAAGCTTATCAGTCATTATTTTGTTGCCGACTATGAGGTATGTGATTTAGAGTAAATGGTTGTCTTTCAAATCAATACGATTAATACTAAATTATCTTTATATAATTTAACAGAATCCAATCAGTCCTGAAATTTTAAAAGCTGTTGCAAGCCGGGTTGTTGCCAATGATAAAAACGATATCCTACTTCTCGACACTACACCACTGGAAGACTCAGGACCATTTGAAGTTCCGGCACCTAGGCAGGCCGTAGTACCCGAAAATTATATGCCAGCTTGGTGAGTACCGGTTCAAGATCCTGTTGATAAGTATAATTACCACTCTTTGCCTCTAATTATTATTGCATTCTCGTAATCATAGGTTAAACTTACCACACGTAAAGAGAATCAGCGCATTAGCAATACGCCAATAATACTATTATTTTACGTCCTGAAAATCAACAGTCGATGTTTGCAAGAGCCACCAGGTTGAGCTTGGTTGGTGATTAGGGATAATCGATGCATTTGAGATATTTTTTTGTAAATTAATCTAAATTATTGTACCTTTCAACTAGTCGCATGAGTTTGACGATATTCGCCAAATTCTTCATTCTTGAGATCGTGCGCATACGAACAAAATTATTAATAAGTTGTATTAAAAATTTTCTTGAGAAAAAATAAAAATGGTTGGGGGGGCATTACTGCTTCATTGTGTCCTTATTAATAACTCATCACATAGATTTCCGATACAATGAGACTTCTTGACGGACCTTCTTCTGACGGAATAGTTTGTTTTTATTTGACTAAAGATTAATTTTTACTTTTTTGAGTAAATTAACAATTTTTTGGACATAGTCAGTTCCTTGCTAATTAAATTTTCTTGCAGCAAACCACGACATATACAACACGCTTTAAGATTATTCCAGCCAATTGTGACAATTCTAGTAGTTTTGAGCTTATGCAATTGAATTTACCGCTTCAATGGAATAATTGTTAACCTCTGATTGATAGAAATTTTAGTTATTCAGTGTCTTATAAGACAGCGCTCATAACAAAGAATGCAAGTATCCTATGAGTTACAGAACTGGTTTGCATTGAGGATATACAGTTTATTGGATGTGTCGGAGCTTCTTTTTTTTTCTTCGCCCGCAGACTTCTACTTTTAATGGCACAGGGCTAGAATGTACAAGTCTTGGGGAAAGCAGCTATGAGAATGTGACTTTGTGCACAGACTACTGGGATGCTGACTAACCAATCCAGAATTTGGACATCTAAAATAAATGACTCACAGTAGACATTGATAAAGTATAATCTGATAGATGTCATTAAGCTCAGAGGGTGCCAACTTTTTCTACCAAGTCATGTATACGTCTCCGTACATATACATTCTTCATAGATATTAGTTTTCTTCGCACATAGTAGACATCAATGAAACAAATATAACATAGCCATCTGGAATCCAAACAAGAATATTTCTCCATTCTGAAATTGCAATTCACCAGTTATCCCGTACTACATGCAGATCACGGTAATAGCCGGCGGAGAAATACGCGCGATTGTTTCTTTTTACAAAAAGTAACAGCTGCTCCATCCACAAACTTTTAAAACAAGTCTTTGCATTTGGGGCTGCTTTTCGCTGCAAGTCAATAATGATAAAATCTTCAAGTTTGTCAGTAAATCCGTTTCGTATGATATATAATTCGTTGACGATTCAGCCAATCAAATCTATCGACGCCATCATTAAAACCTCCGACGGGACACGGTATGTTATTGATATCACCTAAGATGACTTCACTTGAGCAAAAAGGAGACATCGCTATTTATGACGCTTTTAATACTTATATGGATATAGACTTCTTGAGGCGTACTGTTATAGAAGAGGACGTTGAAACTAAAGCCATGTCAAATTTGGATTTTTTCCAACATTATATCAAACCAGAGCCGGTGAATTACAAAGAAGATAATTATGACTCTATGTGTGCTGTCTGTCCGAGCTCATTAACTGAAAATTGTGGCAAGTATAGTCGATCCATGTCTTTCTATTGCAGCTATCGCTTTACTACTAACATTAGGTAGTTTGTCAGTTAAACGAGCGCCAACTGACAGTCAAATAAAACCTGCTGTATGTAGCTGCTACTTCTACGCAAAAGGCTGGACAGCCTTCGAGGCCGCTAGTCATTGCTACTAAAAATTTTGATACGGACAATGTTATAAAGCAAAACGAAAATAATATAGATCAGAAAATGTCTTTGAAGGAAAGGCGAAAGCTGCGGAACAAGATTTCAGCTAGAAACTTTCGAGCACGAAGGAAAGGTATTAAACCTTGTCTATTCGACTGAGACGTTTTGCAATCATCATAATAATATGGCAAGAATATTGTGATTATTTCTCTTTAGAATACATCCAACATCTGGAAGCAACCGTGCAAGAACAACAGAATGAGATACTCCTACTCAATCAGACACTGGCATATTTTAAAGAAAGTAACTCAAGATTAACGCACGAAGTGGAACAACTACGTGAAGGCCATTAAAAAGACTCGAGGCCTATTTACATTCTGCCTAAAAAAAAAGGAATTAAAAAACAAGACTTTTATATTAACAATCATACCAACAGCATAACCAATATGTTTGAACGCCAGAAAGAAGTAAATTTTGTTAATAAAATTAATATAAAATTTGCTCTCACAGCGTCGTTTTATTGAATCGTAGTATTTATTAAGATTGATTTCTTTCACTTTGCTATGCTTCGGATCGTCGCCGCCAACATTTCCCTTTAATTATAGAAATACAATCTTACAGAATGCTAACATAAAATTGAGCATGTATTATGTTTTCAAAGCAGAGAAGCTTTTCTTTCGTGCACAAAACTACCCGCGCGAAAAAATTTTCTGTACCTTTATGCCAAATCTTGATAGTGTTATTGTTTTTTTCCTATTATCTATTTATGACATGTTATTATTCTACTCATTTCCTCTTGTGATTTGCGGTAAGCATAGTAATCGTACGTTGAATATAATCATCGATACTAAAACTCTCGCCTCCTGAATGTACTGCCACAGCATCTGCATAGATTGCGTAATACGTCCAGACATCATATAATTGCTTAATATATCAGTCTTCCATGCTATCACTGCCATTGGAACCATCTTTGTACCAACGGAAAGTTTGACTACAAGAAGGTATTTGTAACAAACTAATTGTTCAGATTTTAGTGTGCTTATAAATAGTTGACAATATTGAGGGATAGCTGTAACAGTCAAAATGTTTGGAAATAAAGCGTTTGAATTGATAAGCGAGCATCGGTAGTTGAGAGTAAATGAACTAAGATCCTCAAGAATTCTAGCGATTGGAAGAGTCTTCTGACAATTCCATAAAAAGAAGTTAATCGTCTTCTTTGTGACAGAAATCGGATAATCAGAGAATAATGGTACGGGAATATCTGCTCAGAAATTATGACTAATCCAAATCTTAATATCAATTCCTCAAGACTATTGTGCACATATAAGGCAGTTATTTCTTGAACAATTAATTCGGATAGTTCCTTTCGCATACGACTTAAGTATAGATACATGCATACAATAAGCCCATTGGCAGTATTGCACTATTACGGGGTGCATGTTATATAAAGTGACTGATTGATGGAAAGGGGATTTATGCAACTTTTAGACAATCAACCTTTCATGATGTGATTTCGCCAGCGTTGGCCTTTGTCTCGTGAAGTTATTATCGTATTCACGTGAGAAAGTTTTTGGGACATCCCGCAATTGATCAGCAAATTCAACAATGGCCCAATTTATATATAGACCATTTGTCAAACAAAGTCATGATCTGTTTTTGTCAATTGCCTTTGCAATAATTCGAATGTGCATGCATGAAAGTAAAAATGACAATATCTATATTGAATTCAGTAATTAGTCATTACGCATCACTGCGACTTGTAAGTGTATAAAAACTTACTCAGCGTGTGTGCCTCTTCTGTGTGTGTATTAATTCTAAACTACTGAGTTGCCATAAACATTTACTACTCAGAGAAAACTCAACCTTACTTCATTTAGTCTCCAATGCCTAGTCTGGATTCACATTCTTCCAAGCCCAATTTTAACTCGCTCACATTAGTGATTTGCAACATACGTTTCTTGTTTCGTGACCTGAATGAACGACTTGGAAATCTTGGACGAAAACGACTAGATTTTCTCGAAACTAACGATCGCGTACGATCTCTAATCTACGAGGAAATACCTACCAGATATATGCAGTACACAAAACGTGACGGCGAACTGAAAACTAAGCTTAAAACGTTGGAAGAATTGTTAAAGAAATGTGAAGACGAAGTTGAGGAGGCTACAAAGCGATGTAAGGAGATTAAAAGTGGATTTGAAGACAAGGAAAAATAAGTTGAGCATAAAAAACACAAGCACAGAAGAAATTTATTCAGTCATTATTTACAAGTAACAAGTCTGAACAGGATGTAAGAATAAATATATAAGAGAATTAATCTTAATAGTTTATAAAATTTCGTTCTCTTTTGAGCCGTGTAAAACCATTGTGAATGCTTGTTGACAATTGAAAATTTTTTCGATGCGTAAAACCTTTGATAATTCACACTATAAAATTCAGTTGCTCTTTTTATAAACCATGTCTCACAAGACGCAAATTATCAGCGTTAGTAAGATATGTTTATCTTTATTAAGACGGTTTATTTGGCATCTATACTTGGCTAATAATATAAAAAATCGGGCTTTGAAATGCTGCCTTGACTACGAACGAGAGTCAGCTTCCCTTTTGTAAAGATAAAATTAGACTTGTGATGCTTAATAAAATTATTTTTATCGTAATTTTGTTTTATCGAATCAATAATTATCAATGGTAAGTAAACTTGCTATTCCTTTGCGCAAGATTTTATTATAGCTTTTGTTTTGTCAAGCAAAACCCGAACGAATATCCCTCGGGCCTGTAGCCTATTTCATATCGCATTCGTTGTTTGAAACTGATCCCGTCCCTCAATAGTAATAGTCTGAATACAAAAGAATGGCTTTGTCAACCGCGGTTACTTTTTTTTTGTTTGTTTGGAATCGTATTTTAAGTAGATCACAGATTTGTACTGTGTCTCTCTTACCAATAAAATATATTTTATTTGTCGAATTCTACCATATAGTATCTACCATATAGTATCTACCATATAATATTAGCGTTACATCCCTGTCTATAATTCCTTCATTTGCTGTCTCCTGACAAAACTAGTCTGGCTTTCCTACTCATTGAAAGTGAATACGAACGCCATGCAATTTTCCTACCATACAGACAGTTACGTACGTATATCGTGTTTGATAATTCAATCTATTAAATGGCACGATTAAAGAAAGAGCGCTATAAAACATATGGTTTGGCAAAGTTTATAAAGTAAAATATCTACTTTATACCATGGATTTTGGTGGTAAGCATATGACTGATACAGTGGGTACCCAAAAGTCTCACCCGTTAGTAAAAATCTATTTTTTTTTGTATGGAAATAAAGCTAATTGACTGTAGGTTTCAGGAAAAATAATAGTAACTTTAAGCAGTTGTCATAATGAAGCTGTGGTTCGATGCATTTTTTAATGTTCAAGATTGAACATATTAACTAGGCAAATGAATCTCCGATGAATCATGTGCTACAATGAACAGATAAATTTTGACAAACAAAAGCGTAAGCGTAACTCAACACGAAAGCGTAAACAATTTGAATGAGTTTGAACATGGACGGATGATTGGTTTACAAATGGCTGGAAAGTCCTATGAAGTTATAGCTCTCATTCTAAAAGTTTCAAAATCACTTACATATACAATTGCCCGACATCAAATCTTTATAAACTTAAAGTACTACAAGAAGAACGGAGAAAATTTTACCTAAACTTATACCAAACTTATAGAAAGTATGCCACATAGAATTGAAGCATTCATTAGGAATCAATGATGGCCTACAGAGTATTAAACGTTATGTTTGTATTGAAATTTATAAAATACTTTTTCAAGTGTAGTGTATATAATCATATGTTTAATCGATATACTACCACTTTGGCAAACCCACAGCTTCGTCATGACAACCTGCTTAAATTTATGATTATTTTTCCTGAAAACTACAGTTAATTCCTGTACAAAAAACTTTGCCATTAGCTAGTAAATATGGCCAATAGAGATTTTCGGAAAAAAAATATAATAGATTTTTTTATATGTTTTACTAATGGGTGGGCGGAGACTTTTGAGTCACTGTAGTTGAAAATTGTTTTAGTGTAATTAAGAGTTATTATCGGAAAAAGAGACCAAGAAGTGAAAAAGAATTAAGGCAAGTTGTTAAAGAAACAATAGTAAAATTACAGCAACAAGATTTGCTCCTTTCAATAACAATGCTGGTGAATAACGATCCTGTAAATCTCTTTCCTCGTATTGCCAACCTCATTCTTCCAGTAGGGATTTGATTTCGGCCTTTTTTATCCCCCATCCAACGCTGGTAATTTTCATATTATGGAAATGAGGTGGTTGTTGGAAGTGGAACAAGAACAAATTGGGGTTTTGGATAAAAAAAAAAAGAGTTTCTTTTAGAGAATTATTGACAAACTGCAATAGACAATTGGCACTTTGTAACGTCAGCTTTAACATTGTAGTTTAGCTGTTTTTCTCATTATCTTTATGTCTCTTTTCCCATCACTGCAAGATTATCCTCATTGTCAAGGTGCTCGATTGTCGCTAAGAATTAGGGTAAATTGTGTAAATCAAGTAGACAAACAATTATCGGTACAAATAAAGATATCGGTGGCAAGGATGCGTGTTCACTTAAATAAATATTCAGACGCAGCTTTGGCTATTATGCATGTATTGCTTCACGTATAACGAACTCTCCTCCTGTTGGACCGGGTTCACAGGTCCCAAACTCAGAACAACAGTCACAGGAATAATCGCAACATTAAATAAACCAAACAATTATTATAATATTTCTATTATGCTTACTAGTAGCTATTCACTTCCTCCCGATTGCGTGAATTTACCTAACTGGCTTCTCGATGAAACAATATCGGTTCGACTTTAAACAAAAGAAATCTTTCGGCAGTCGAGTGAGAAATGACAGAATGTATAGGAAGATAAAAAGCAAACAAACAACAGATAAATGAACTAGTCAATTAATTATGAATGAATGAATAATGAACGAGCAAGTGAATAAATGAATAAATAAATGGAGATAAAATACAGAAATAACAGATAACTAACCCAGACTATTGTTTTTCAAATTAGCCCTTTCTCGGCCAATGGTCTGGGTCGAGAGTTACCGAGAGGCTTCAAATCAACGATAGTTATTCTATAGTTAATAAAGAAAACATCTTGCTCAAACATCTCAGTTTAGCAATCATAACTCAAATAGTGTCTTTATGTTAACAGGGACACAATCCACCGTAAAAAGTAACTTTGTTTTTGTTCTAAAAGGCAATTGTGTTAATCCGAATTCGTTAGGATCAAGAAATGAATTACCAATTTTAATTTGTGAAACAAATGAACGAACTTGTTATTGATAAGGCCCCATTGTCCCTAGTGTATCCTGCAGTCACGGGAACACTTTCAGGCGTCTTTCTTGTTGTCTTACTACACAGACCCAGTACGAAAAAGAAGCTCGTATGCTTCAAGGTTTACCCCAACCATTAGGTAGGCAAGTGTTGCATTTTATAAATTACTAATTCCTTTTTTTTTTTCCTGGTGGGGATGCTGAGTGATTAGATCCAATAGGACACTTAGCAGTCGTGAAGAAAAAAAAAAGTCCGAGGACAGGTTTGTTGGCTAATTAGCTACTTGTGGGGAATCAGAAGTTGTTGTTTGGAACACTACCCAATTTAGAAGCTGTAACCATATTATTTATTATTTGTTTATAATGGTCAGATGGGCGGAAATAGACCACGTTTTTCTGATAATTATTAATATCGGTTCCACTCTCGCACACTTACTCTTAATGAATGAAACCATTACTGATGTCACGTCGGTTATAGTTGATGGGAACTTTTCCGCGTAACTGTCGCAAGAGATATCGAAATCACCGTGTTACTTTAATAATATATTAATATACCAATACATATATGTGTATGTCATCAATTAAAGTCTTTACCGCTTTTAGTTGCATAAGGCATACAGCTTGTGCAAGTGTTGCTACACAATTATGCAAAAAGCCTTTATCCTTTAATAGTAGGTGTAAACAAATATTATGTAGTTCTTGGCTGCAAGAGACAATGCATTCTATTATTGTGTGGTACTACGAACATATTTGCAGTACAACAGACTTGAAATGGACGCAAGAGAATTCATCATGTCAACAATTGAACAGCAGCCCGAAAAAAGTAAGAGAAATACACCAACAAAAACTTATAGGTTACCATCAAAGCAAGCCGAACATGCACAAACTGTCGAAAGACCCAACCCGGAAATTGATAGCATTACACGAACATTACAAAACAAGTTCTGCGAGGCATGAAATTAAACCAATAAGCAACGACCAACGATGTTCTTGTACTGGACTGATGTTAAGATGTGGAATTCTGAAACGAAATTTTCGATTACGGCAGCTAGTCTCGCAAATCGTATAAATTTCATTGATACTGGTATACTCAAACTATAGTTCTTTTGGATGATCATCAACTTTCAAGGGAATAGTTGCCCGCGACTTGGTAGAACGAGCTAATCTATATAGCGTCGAAGCTTGGTAAAGAGCTGCTAAATCATGTGGGGCAGAATTCAACCATAATTGTATATATCACGAGTCAAAATGATTAACCTATAACATTCGGATCGACATTCTGAGTTTTCCCCGTCTAAATCTTTACTATCATTGGCGATGTATTTCACTTTCCGTGGTGACTAATATTAGTCATAGGCATTGGGCTGCTGTATGCGGTCGGGGTTTGATAATTTTAACCCTGGAAAATCATTTTGTGGCGCTATTTGTACTGAATGTGACCGATTTTGTTGCAGCATAATGCCCCGCATAGCACGTTAATTAAGTTAATTAACAATAACAATAGGCAAGTTATTTTTAAACACATTCTAATCCGTAGTTGAATATCTTAATCATCTGTGGTCAGAATCCCTTACTTGCGAGACCGATCGCAAAGAGAAAGAATACGAGCGACATCACACTGTATTAAACTCCTCTAAAAACAAGTCCACTACTTGCTAAGATAGAATATTACCACTACCGCTACTGCCACAGTACTACTGTCGCTACTGCATCCCCCACCATTACTATTACAATTACGCCGACTAATTCCAGTTACTATGTCTGACTCTCGCAGTCTGTCAACATACGCATACCCGTCGCCCGCTTCACACCGATCAAAGAATGATCTCTCCTTACGCGAGATACTCGACTCTTATAGAGACAATAACGATCTACTTGCTCAAATACTCGCCACTAAGGCTGAGGAAGACAAGGTAGGTTGAAGACATTGCAATTACTGCTCCATAACTGTGTATATTGACGACTATATATCTATCCACTATGACTGGTCAATTGCACTGCCATTGCATTTGCGTACTAACCTGCGATCAAAACAGCGTAGGGCAGAGGAGGAAAAGTTCCGAACAGAGCAACTTCGCTTGCAATGTAAACAGTTGGATTTGGAGATGATGAGAGAACAGAGAAAGCCACCAACAATATTCACTGGAGTTCCACGTAATATATCACCTTTTCTTGTCAATTGTATGAGAGTTGTCATTCAGCGAATTTGTATTGACTTTGATGTTAATCTTATGTAGCATTGAGCTCAGGATTCAGTGTGTATGTGTACGAGAAAATGCGATTGCGTATAAATGGTTAAGCTAACCAGGCTCATTGTGACTATCCGCTCATGTACTTGCCTCAATTTTTTTTGTAGTAAATCGCCTTCAGATACGCATAGTCCTTTCTTAAATATTCCTCCTCCTATCGGTAAGCAATTACGCACATTGCACTTTTAGTTTCGGTGGCAATCGAACTTCTTGTGTTATGTTATGTTCCTCATATTCCTACGCTTGGTACATATTTGCCCTCTGTCAACTTTATCAGATACACACTTCTCGGCAACAACCCCCACATCGGCTCGTCTTTCACCTCCGAGCTCGGCTACACCTCACGAGAATATAAACTACGGTGGAATAACCAACCCACAAAACCATACCTATTCACGGCCATCTCTAACGTTATCCATTCCACCATTCCAAACGCTTTCCTCTCCAACTGCAGCTCACTCTCAAAACTCTTTCTCTCAGGCTTCTCTTGATCACAACTACACCCAATCGCCTACTTCTGCAACATCTGCTTCGATGACCGCCACTACATCCACGATAAATGTGAATCATAACAACAAACGTCCAAAGCCATCTGAGCCTGAAGTCGATCACGAGTATGTAATGGAGGCACTACGGCAAAAAGTCCGACAGAATGCTGAGAATCCTGCAAAGAAGTACATGAAAGTGCTTAAACCTCGTAGTGTAACAATGCCTGTTGGGTCAAGCGCCGGTATTACTTCGTCCACAAACCATCATAATACTTCTAGTCATCATAACTCGAACAATTCTCAACATTCTTCTGCTCCTGCGACTGCTTCTCTTCATCATCAATCTCATTCACAGCAGCAACAGCAGCAACAGCAACAGCAACAACAACAGCAACAACAACAACAACAACAACAACAACAGCAGCAGCAGCAACAGCAACATTCTCCTCTTTCTAACGCTCACACTCATCCGTCTCAAAATTCGGTTGGCTCTGCAACTCATCATCCAGTACAGCATACTTCCTCTACGCATCATCATCACCATCATCATAATCATCAATTACAACATTCACAAGGCCAACATTCACAAGGCCAACATTCACAAGGCCAACATTCACAAGGCCAACATTCACCTGTAAGTACCACAGGAAGCAATACACCAGTACAGCATAGTCCAATTTCCACTACGACCTTGCCCCCTTTGAACCTACACTCACCTGGAATTGGAAATGAGCAGGGAGTTAAATCGTAACCGGTCTGGTTATACCATCAGTATTCCCGTTAATCGGGAAAGAGCTCTGCCATTTCTATACACGAAGAAGACGGATGAAATGAGGAATCGTGAAGAGTCAATGAAGAGTACAAGGAGTAAAGGAGCTGAACTGTTGTTTGAGTTCATGATCGATTACTATGATATATTTCCATACGTTAGTTTATAGTTCATACTTTTATTTTCTATCCTGTATTATCGTATATCATAAGATGAGACTGTATTTTCGCTCTGCAAGTTGAATTTCTTTCTCCTTCATTTGTATGTAGGATCAATTGTTATTGTTATTATTATTTCAGATACATGTAAGATTTTTAAAAATTTATTTTGGCCGGACCAAAAGAAATCCTGATAAATGAGCAGCAACCTACACATATGAAAAAATATATATATAAATAATGAAGTGAGTTAATCAAATTGTACATTTGTCCAATTATACTCTCGTGTACATATTAACTGAAAAAGGTCACAAGAAGGTTTATCGAAATTATTTATTTACAAAGAAACTTCACACAATTGCTCACTTGGTTATGCGCAAGAGGGGTTCTCTTTATTATCTTTCCGAATTTTATTACATTTCCATTGGAATAGATTGTGAGAAACGCTTGAGTGCCTCATCAAACTCCTCGACGATTCGCTGTAAAGCACGGTTGGAACCTAATAATAGTAGTGATTGGACGGATATTAGATGAGAAATTACTCAGAGGAAGGAAAAGGCTTGATACCATTCACAATTGACACTGACTGATAATGGCAAGTACATCCCGTAGTAATTGGTGCTTAGATTGTCCCTATTGAATAAAGGGACCATGTACATCCATATCATTCGGAGAGTTAGACATCGCGAACGAATAAACGTGGAATGAGTATAAAACTATAAATAACTCTTACCAGCACGTTGGGCTCCCAACCATTTGGTTTACTAAGCAAGTCATAAGACATTCAATCAGCAAGATAAAAAATTTTCACTTTTACATACAACCGATCATGACTATTTTCTACCTTCCTATTTAGACTTTCTCTCAACCACTTTTCAACTAACCTTCGGCTCCCGGGTGGCCCCAACAATTCCTTACAAACTTCCCTCAATTTTACTTCCTGTTGAGCGTCAGTAAGCTGCTGCACGTATAAAAATAAATATTGTCTGAATTCACTTGGACTGTCGATTATCTTTGCCGCACTCAGCACTGTCTCCAAATGTCCCAATACCCTCGGACCAACACCCGGGTTCTCAAGGTATATCTGTCCCTGTGAGACGCCTCTATTTGCGCGTGAGTGCTCTTCCGCTCTTCCAATTAGACCTAACTTCCATTTTGGAATCATAGGAAGGGGAAAGTCCGGACCCGTATAAGATGAGTTGACAACGCGCATCCAGGATTTCATTGCTATGTGATACAACCACGTGTCGTCATTCGAGGTGAGGACAAGAGGAACTCCGTTGCGAGTGATGGATGCAGCTTTGATGGTTGTTTGTGTAAATTCATTAGACGTCAGCGTCGCAACTTGGAGTACTGGCGCTAGAGATATGCCCGAGAGAATGGAAGTTTGGGTTGGAATATCCCAAGCGTATATGAGACCGATTTGAGTTAAGATCAGCAGATATTTATCGTTAGAGTCCATGAAAGATGCTGGCGCTTCAAGCATTATAGGTGGGAATAGGCTGGGGTAATCAAATATTAGGATGGGCTTATGGAAAACACCACGGTGGTTTGAGTAATGTATTTCGTATTGCTTACCGTCTTCCACCAGAAGAGTGAATATAAACACTTCCGTCTTCGCATGAAGATGTTGTGTAAGAGTCGTTGTGATCAATAAGCAATATGGGACTATTCACCTGGTCTATCCATTCGACAGCTCCTTTACGTCTACAGGTTATCTTTGACATTTCTAATAAATCGACACATTATGATAAACAAAAATATTCGATCAGATATGTACACAGAAATAATAGATATTCCCTGACTTCATTTTCGTTTCTCAAGCTCATGCAATCACTCACTGTTTTTGTTGCGACATTCGATTATCCCATTAACTAATTCCAACTTCAGTTCTTCTTTTACAACAGGCACGCCCAACCTCACTTGTGAAATGGCGACAACTGGTAATTCGTTTGCTGGTCGTAACGTCTTCGAGTCGGTATCAAGACGTCCTTTAGCAGAGGCCATTCTCTTACTAGAAGGTTGCGCTGTCTCTGTATCTGCCACATACCGTTTATTGCCAATAAAGAGCGCAGGAATGCCACCGGGCGGAAGAGAAGATGAAGGCTGAGACATTTCCACAGAAGATTGGGGTTGTTCTTGATGTTGTTGGGAAGATTGGAATACATTCGTCGAAGCTTGCAGGTTGGATAACGGAGCCTGGAAAAAAAGAGCGTGGTTTAATAAAATTGAAGATATGAGAGCAAGAGAACTAGAGGATTGGATGATTACCGTAGCTGGAGGGAAAGACGATGTCGTCATCGGTTGTGAAGCAGGCGGTGATAGACTATGCTCAGAAGCATTAGTTTCAATTCAAGTTTCGCTTACAACATTAAACTCTCCCCCATTCTCTGCAATAACCAAATCGTACGCTCACCCACGAAGAAACTGCGGCTGTATTCTCTTTTTACCATCTTTCATAATAGTAACGGTTTGCTGCACTGGGGTACTGACACTTCCACCTGCCCCAACCGCTACATCCCCTGACGGCTGCGATGTATCGAAAGACGTGGTAGTTTGAGGACCTTCTATTATTTCTAATATGCGATTTGATTTCTTCTCTACGTTTCGTTGCTCTTCCAAAGTATATTGCGCAGTGTTTTCTATTATTATAGTGTCTTTCCTTTTGTAACCATACTGTTCTAAAATTCGCTCCTTTTATAAAACAGAGAATGATGATTACCTTTACGAGAGCAAACCGATTTCATTTATATAACTGTATGGCACTTACTTTCTCTTCATGTGTAACAGGCGTACCAAACGAACCCTCGAAAAATCTAAGAATGCAAACGCTCCCATCATACGAAGCAGCAAATAAAGCATGTCCATCCGGAGACCTTTTGACAGATACATGTATAGAATACCACGAAGAGTATCGTCTAAGCGTTATCAGAAAATTAATGATGGCCAACACTCCTCACAAAATGATCGTTAACGTACCAACATAAATCTAAGACGCTGTGTTCAAATATTTGCTCCGTGGCAAACAATGGTCGAGCATAGTTCGTTGACCAAATGGATATGCAATGATCTTGACTTCCGACGGCACAGATAGTTCCAGTCGTTGAGGATTCGTCTGACGATTTGAATAATTTGGGATTGAAGGCCTTGAACAAAATGAGATTACGAGATGTAAATATCTAGCAACAGACGGAATGCGAGAATATATTTATATGTTGCGTATATTGCCGGCGTGCGATACGTACGACTACCTCGACCGGACTTTGATGTCCAACCAAAGATACAACCGTAACCCATTCGGTTCTTCGAAGAATAGCTGCCACTGCAACAGGTCCTTCTTGGCAATTGGCACATGCAATATGGGATCCATCTGGCGACCAACTAAATACAATTATTTGCGTTAAGAAGTTTGTAACATCTATTAGCTTCAGAGATGCCCTATTTCATACCTTGTTAACAAAATCACAAGAACAAGTGCATGCATTTTGAGAGTAAAAAATACCTTAATCGTTGAAAAAAAGTACTTGTAGGTGACGTGACGAAAGGGTCTTTAATATTAGTCTCCACTTGCCAATCGGACGTTCGCCATATTTTTACTGTTCTGTCATCTGACTAATCATTAGTACAAATATTAAAACCCTATTATTATCCGACGTATACACGACAATAGTTAATAGCAAAAAACGGCGTCACTGCCCTACCTCGCTTGCCAGATATTGTCCGACTGGATCCCAACTTAGACCTTTAACAAATCCATTGTGTGCTGTGAGTGTCGCGAGCTTTTCTAAAAAACGATCAGCATAAATTTAGTATAAAATGATGGTGTTAAATTATATACATAAATCATTCCGTCCTACCAAAAGTCCGACCATCCCAAATGAATATATTAGAGTCAAATCCGCAAGATGCTAGATATCTATTATCATCAGACCACGATAAGCCGCCAACATCTGTTACAATTAGACGGACGAAATAATTATCAGTATTCCAAGGCATCCAAACAAATATGATATCTCGTTACCTGAAGAGTGAGCGGTAAGTCTTCTTACAACCTTCCAGTTTTCTATGTTTTTCTCGTTGCTCCCAAACACGCTAGTTGTGTCACGTGATACGCTGTAATTCAAACAATGTGTCAGCACTCGTTGCTATAAAGAGAGCATAACAGTATTTAACGTTACGAACTTGTCTAGTTCCCAAATCAATATAATTTGGTCATCAGAGCCCGACGCAAGATATCTGCCGTCGATATTGGACCATCGAACACACAAGACAGCACCTTTGATCCGAAACAAAGTAATTAATCCCAATGCCAAAATCTCGGGCACAACTCTAATCCAAAATCACCAACCATTATGCGTAGACATTGTACACAGAAGAGTCTCTTCGTGAGATCTCGTTTCATCCAGAACTACCTCGGCATCCCAAACCCTTATTTTCGTGTCTAGGTAAAGAAATTATATTGCATATGAATCATGGCGCGTCGCGAGCGTGTAGAATCATATCAAGCCTACATACCCAAGCCACCAGTGGCCACTCTTTTGCCAAGAGGATGTACATGTATGGAGAATATGCTTGTCTTCGAACCCTTCTCGTCTTAGTCGATATGGTCAAGCCGGTAAGACAATTTGACTGTTTGTTCAGAACCTTCCTTCGCGGATTTACTCACCTGTGTGTGCCCAACCGGGCTAAACGTTCAAGAAAAGCAGAACGGACTAGTTAGAATTCTTGTACCGATCAAATTACCAAGGACTTCTAATTGTCAGCTTCCCAACCTTTACTATCTGCATTTTACCGGGACTTGACATATTGGCAAATGTATTGTCACTATCTAACAAAGTGGAAAAATACGTGTACAGGCCTAAATTTTGTACTTTTCAATACAAGCCACCCTGCACAAAGTAACTTTCCTAATAAAGAACGCAAATCGCCATTCCGAAAGAAGAAATCGGGCGATCAACAATCCTAATTTATTTAGCTTAGAAACCGAAAAAGCCTGTGCTCTTTTAAGACTTCTTTAGCACACCTTTACCCAAGGTACAGCTATAAATGTAAATCTCCTTTATTCTTTCCCCACCTCCTTTGATTTTGCATTAAGAACGACCGAACAATGGCTACGGAATCGAGTGTTGGAATTAAAGAAGACTCGAAGACCTTAGACTCCAACCGATGTATAGATTCAAAGCCCGTCAATGGGATCAAGTCGACGGAGAAGCCTTCGACCAACGCTTATAAACATCTGCTGGAGAAGATACCGCAATTTGACTTGGAAGACATTGGAGAGAGATTTGAGCCGATTAATACCGAGGTTAAGAACATACTTATAACAGGCGGAGCTGGATTTATGTGAGTTCTGATGAATATGTGATTAGATTGAATACTGTCAGAAGGAGGGAAAAGTACCTCCGAATTGCAGTGATTTGTTTTTGTTTATCTTTCCCATTCCTTTTACAGTGGTTGTTTCCTAGTTCGCAAAATTGTCGTGCTATATCCAGAGTATAACGTTGTTGTAGTGGATAAGTTGGACTATTGCGGCAGTTTGCGGAATGTTGGAACCCTCAAAGGAATGCCGAATTACACATTCATAAAGGTACATGCATTTATTTACATATTCTGGTTTTCATTGTGAATTTGCTTTGTGTTGTAAGGTCTTCCTCCTTTTCTCCCTTAAAACTCTGCCTTGCGATATCACCTGCTTCACTGTTTCTATCTTCTCCTATCAATATTCTTTTTTCATTCCATAGTTTCTGCTCCTATTTTCCAACGATCACCCTGATTTGCCTCAGCTTTTCTGCTTCCTTCCTATCCTTTGTCAATTTCTCCATAAACAATTAAAGGAGAGATAAACTCCCCCAGCAGACATTCATCAAACACCCTTCACTTACGCCTGCAGCAACCACCTCGTTTCTAATCTAATTCAAAGGGCGACATAACTTCCTCCGATTTCATGTCTTTTATCCTCCGCGAGAAGTCGATCGACACTATATTTCATCTCGCTGCTCAGACACACGTGGATAATTCTTTTGGTGATTCCTTCGAGTTCACAAAGAATAATGTTATGGGAACGCATGTCATGTTGGAGGCGGCTAAGTTGTATGGGATTAAAAGATTCATCCATGTTAGCACGGATGAGGTATATGGAGAGGTGGCAAAGAACAGTGTAAGTAGAAAATTGGTGACATAATATGAAGAGAGTTTGATATATTTTTGCCCGTGAAATATTCTGATGCGTCTGGAATGGTTAAATATGTGTAGCCTGACTGTCACGAAGAATCTATTCTAGCACCGTCAAATCCGTATTCTGCGACCAAGGCTGCCGCTGAATGTCTTGTTAAGGCTTATCATAAATCTTTCGGACTTCCTATCATAATTACAAGGAGCAACAATGTCTATGGACCTTATCAATATCCTGAGAAAATTTGCTCTAAATTCATATGCAGTCTCATCTGTGGGGGTAAGTGGTAAGTAAACTGCCTCTTAAAAGGCCTCATCTAAAAAATTACCTAAGATCATCATCTGGATCCATTACACAACTCACACCCTAATTCGATGGCATTCTAGTTACGTCCACGGTGATGGCTCCAACTCGCGCAAATATCTCTACGCAGGAGACGTGGCTAATGCCTTAGACATTATCCTCCACCACGGACAGATCGGGGAGATCTACAATATTGGGTCTAACTTTGAGATATCTAATTTAGACCTCGCACGGACGCTAATAAGGCAGTTTGGATATAAGGAGGAGGATCACATAGAGTTTGTTCAAGATCGGGCATTTAATGATAGAAGGTATGCTGTGGATTATAGAAAATTGAAGTAACTGGGATGGAAACCAAAAATGGGTTGGGAGGAAGGGCTGAGAAAGACGAGTAAGTGTTGATTTTCGCTCTTGATATTGAAATCAGAAGTTGGTTGTTGTCATAAAGACGAATTAGTAATGGTACATTTCTTTTTCATACGCACTCCAGTTGCATGGTACAAAAAACATCGTGACACATGGTGGGGAGATATCTCGTGTGCATTAGTACCGCACCCTCTGAAAGCTCTGCCTCAGAATGATAACTATACATTGTAATTGCCATAACGATTTTTTTTATAGTTTGTTATTTAAATAATATTTAGTTTTGGTTCTATTGAATGTAAATTATAGATTCTTAAATATGAGATGGAATATGTGATGGAATATAAACAAATAAAAAATTATTGCTAATTAATTCTGCAGAACTCGTAAAAAAGTATTGAAGATTTAGTTTTTGACATTTCGAACTTTACCTCAACTCTAATTCGTGAAGAATTCAGCCTACGGGTGGTAGCTATCATCAATAAACTGACGAGTCCCAGAAAATGCATTCACAATGGTTAGAAGAAGAGATGACATTGCTAGTGTTTACCCAGCCGCGAGTCAAAAGATGGTATTTCTGCTTCGTCATTACAGGAGCTACAATATTATTTAATTAAAATAATTCTCTAAAACGACGAACTTTTCGAGATTATCCCCAAACAAGAGATCGGATAACAACAAAACCCCGGGTTATTTTCAATTGATGTCTCGACAGTATTATGATAAAGATGCTCTTGTCTTTTGTAGTCTAAAGGTAGCGGTATTAGTATTAGAATGGATTAAGATTTGATTTCCCTGTAAGTTACAGTGAAACCGGATATAACGAAGGAGACGGTGCAGACACTTTTCTTCGTTATACGTTATATCCAGGTTTCATACATATATCTAATTATAGTAATACGCATTATTATATAAAGAAGTTCTGTTATATCTTATTGTAAACGTAATTCAAGATTGTTCAATATTTACAAATTCAAATTCATCAAGCGTTGTTTGACGTGCCAATTCTAGACTGCTTTGTGATATCGTTCTTCTCAATTTAGTCAAGCACCTAACAACCGACACTTTTACTCCAAGATTTTTCTGAGCAATATATGCCAAAACACTATCAATCCTCTGAACTGGTAACAATCCGTTCCGATTGAACGTTTTCGTCTTCTTGACCGTCAACCTGGTTGATAGTGTGGGAATTTTAAATATGATGGTTGGAGGTTCCCTTCGGTATATCCAATATAGAGGGATTTATAATTAATTTCGTTATATCCAAACAATTTTACTATGGAATGATAGTGGTGCTGATTGACGAAATTGATTCGCGTCTTCGATATAATCAAGCCAAGCGGTATATCCAAAGTCAAATCGTACTTAGTATTCATAAAGAAATGTGCTTCAGATTAACCTCTTTCATTATTACCTTTATATAATGAGAAATTGGGATATTGGCTTGGTTCTTCGATAGACGCGAAATCAATTTTCGTTGTCAATCACTACCAACAAGCTCTATAATTGAAAGAGCTAGCCAATTACTGAACGCTCACATGGTTTTCTAGACTTTTCTCAGCAAAATATCACATGCGGATCATGCGGATCATGCAGATCAACGTGATGATCCCGGACCAGAGCTTCCTCTGTTGTATTTGGCACAATCTTTATAGTCGTTAAGGCCGATCCGCTAAAACATTTATTTACTTTCAATAATCGCCTCACGTCTTTTCATCGTAAAACGCCTGATTTTTTGGTCTTCGCCTTTCTACATTAGTTTTGACTATGCTCCGTAGATTTTCTATTGGATTAATATCAGGACTATTCGACGGCCAGTCAATAACCATGGGTATATTGGCCTGAAGAGATTGTTTAGCGACAGAGCTCGTATGCTCAGATCGCTGTCTGTTGGAAGCGCCAGACATTTGTCGTATTTCGGTAAGTGCCTCTGAAGTATTTCAACGTAAACTGGCCCTGTCATTATTTACTTCAAATACGTTGTCCCCTGTATACTAATACTGCCATTTGAAAAAAAAATAACACCTGCCTTGCTCTGAGACAGGACTTTAAAACTATTATTACAGATGATGACAATGATGATGACAATCCATTTACCATAGTAATAGAAGGGCTTTGGTAGTCAACATGCCAACCTTGGATGTTTCGAGGGCCTTGACCACACCCCAGTTGTGCTGTCTCAGAATCCACCGGGATCCACGCGACTTTGAAAAGCAGTTCCACTTTTTATTTCTACACGCTAGACAATTTAAATCAAGAAAGATGGATGAGACAGTTGATAAGAGAGTTCGTGGAACCTTTCAGGTAATTTAATATTTGCACTATTTCGAAATGGTATATAGCTAACGAAACATTTTTATGTAGGAATCCAAGACAGGGGAGCCCAATATATATTCCGTTTGGTGTCGAAGTCTTCTCAATTCAAGTTTTAGAATTATTTTTTGTTACACATCGACTATAACTTGAAGCCAAAGATCTACCTTGTATATTTGATTCTCTTTCCAAGAATAGTCAGTTAGCACTAAAGAGAGGATCAAAGATGGCGACATACGCCAGCCAGCGCAGTAGTGAAAAGTCTAACGGAAGTGACCAAGTATTTTCATAAACTATCTTTATTGGCTGTAAGCGGCGAAATTATTAAGTGATTTTGATAATGTTGGCCAAGTGATATAGTATTAAGTATATGCACAGTTGCATTTCCTGGACGGTGGGAATCTTAGTGATGAGGCCACGACTTGAGTAATTATATCTCTAAGAACGGGCATAATTACTAGATATATTGTTTCTCGCGGAAAATATTAGATCATTGTTCTTTTATTTCTTACAGTTATCCTTATTATTAGAATAGCTCTTCGAATTCTAATAAAATCAAGTGTTATAAATATTAAATTATTCGATTATTTCCCTGGTCAATCGCTGGTTAAAGTGTAAAACGCTTCCTGAATCAGCGCTCAACAAAATCGATCTTGCCGTCAATTTTGTAGGAAACTTTGACACGAGGATTATTATTTATTTATCATCAAAAGTACGGTAATACTCGAGGCTAAATAGTAATCCAGGGACAGCGCGTACGAGACCGACTGCGCGTCGTGAGTATATTGAAAACCATGTAAAAAGTCACTAATTGTCATTTACGGATTTACAATAGAATGCAGAAACACTATTTTCTTCCAAAGTAAATGAATCAGAACATTCATAAAACACAGATAAAACCCATGCCTAAAACGCGGTATAAAACCATACACGCACGAATAAAACAACTTAAAACACCATAAATATTCAGTGACAAATACTTATTAACTGGGGAGAGATTAGAAACTCTCAACTTGGTTGCTTAAAATTTTTGAAATTTATTGTTTTACTTTTAGGTGTTTTGCTTCTATCGTTTGCTGTTGTTTGGTGTTTATGGGATCAAACATTCTGTTTTCTAATACAAGGCAAACTTGTTAAGACGAAGCCACGCTAGGCCCAAATTGCATTAAGCCGAGGTTTTTCTGATTTCATTGACTAATTGACAATAACAATTTTATCTCAATATACCGAGGTGTCACGTGATTGTATATTGATTGGTTCGTTTCTTGAATCCTGTAACACAATTGAAACAACTACATCGCGCCTATGTCACTTGTAATATAAAAAATAATTATTATTTTTTCATGTCACAAACAATCGGTCGATTGTTTATCGAAGTACAGTCGAACCCCGCTATAACAAAATGCGTTATGCCGAATTTTTGTTATACCGAAGCAAGTGTTTCCCCCCTTTTTTTTCAATATTTAAATTTGATCGTTATTGCGAATTTTAATAGTAAACCTCGTTATTCCGTTACCGAAGTTCAGTTGCAGGATTTTTGTATATGGTGCTAGTCGCTTTATAACGAAGTTAATCACGTGACAGAAAGTTTAAACATAGTGATTGGTTGTAGCAATTATAAAATTTGTCAATATTGAGGTAGGTTATAATGAGCTCAAAGTCTTTCGTTCAAGTCAAAAGCAATCTAATTAGATTCATTTTGTACTGGTTAGACTTATTCTTTCTTCAACAAAGAATGTAATTGGCAAAAATCTTTTATATGTTTATTATTTTATGGTTGTTTACCCTTTTTTAAATAGGTAGATATTCTAAATCAAGATTTTTTCGTAACTAGTTAATCATGTAAAACATGAACGGCATTTGGTAGTTTTTCTTCTTCATTGACGCATCGAAAAATTCTAAGTAATGATTATATATTCTAATTTCTTAAACTTTTGATTTGGTGGGTAGACTGCTAAAGCTGTTGTTTTCTTAAACTTTTGAGTGATCCTAGAAATCATTATATTTTTTTGTTTTCTCCTAGTATTTGTATTATTTTGCAACTAATAAACATTGTTTACGAAAGTCTCAATATACCGAATATTACTTGACTTTAGGCTAGACTTCATTACAAAGAGAGTGTTCGTTTTACCGAATTCCTCGTTATAGTTGACCTCCCCGTGCCTTGGGTTCGACTGTAATCAGGGTTTTGTTTACTGATAATGCGTCCGTTTTGTCTTTTCCAGTTACAAAATTTATCAACAAATACAAAGTTAATAATCAATTCTATCGATACTCAAGAAGTTAGAATGGAAGTGGCAGAATTTGTTAATTCGGAAGATTCTGTCTCTGTATATGATATGCCGACAACGGTGTCTATTATTACAACAATAGAAGAAGAAGAATTATCAGAGTCGGAAGACTTTCCAATAGCCAAATCCATTTCTCGTAAATCAGTTCTTGAGCATGTCAATTCTTTGCGAACTCAATGTTGATATCACTTTCTTATCTAATTTAAGAAAATAATTGAGACTAAACAACAGAATACGTTACAGCAAACAAGTAACCTTTATAGCGTTGAATTGTAAGTCGTGTAAACTCGGCTTAGTGCGAAATTTAGTAAACGAAAATCTCGATAAGCCGAACAAATTGTCTCTTCGTCTTATCGAGTTTGTCTTGTACCTTTTAAGATTATCTTTTCGCTCACCGGGGATGTTACCGTGCTACCGCTCTTCCTCCGGTAGCTGTACAATTAAGACTGAATTATGCTTCGAATGACTTATTAAATTAATAAATTAGTTATTCACACGTTTAACTACTCCCTATGCGATATAAGGGTACCAACGACTACTATTACCAAGCAACAACAATTTAATAATCGTTGAATTGAAAGGGAATTAATTTTTAAATTTACATGTATCTTCGATTTTGTATTTCGACTAGTAAATATTCCCGTCACTCACTACACACGTGAAAGATATGAAAACAAAAACTTTTTTGAAAAATTTCATTGTTGTATTTACAATATAAGCAGCCATGTTTTTTACTGTTTTGGGGGGAATCGATTACTGTTATAAAGCTGTAGTTCAATAAAGTGACACTATATAAATTACAATAGAAATTATGCTGCTATAATAAAGATTTCTTGATTTTAATGTCATCACTATCATCAGAATTATGTTGATGTTGATATCAGCGAGGTACACAAGTTCCTCGCAATCGTCGATAGTGGTATGAATCAAAGTTAATATATGCGAGGGAATTTAGATAAAGGGAAATCCGTTTCTATAACCGATGTTGGGGGTTGATATTAACGAGGTGGGTATTAGAAGGGGTCGACTGTATAATGAACTACGTATATTTACTATGAAAATAAGTATTAATGACATATCTTCGCTCGCATATGATGTTGTTTAATTTCTTACGCATAGTAATAGTGAATATTAAGTAAACGCTGAATATTTAATAAGTCTATCCATATCTAGAATGTTAATAATGTAGAACAAGCCAATAACAGATATCACAGATGTGTGTTATTGGTTATCTAAATACAAGAAATATAAACACGCAAAGTAGGACACTTAGATTATCTATAAAGCGTTTCTTAATCAAATATTAATCTCTGCTCTTATCTATCAACTTTCCGCTCTATCTATCTACTCTAACACATTGAAATTTGTAAATCCGTTAAGGATCTATTCCTGCACCAAAATTAAAATAGACAAAGAGCGTGTTGTGAGAACACGCGACACTAAGTGATAAAATATCTTTTCTAACAGCTCGGATGTAAGGAATCTGTGGCGCTTTATTATTATCGACCCCTGAAAACAATGTGGTGGCGTCGTAATATATTAGTATCGTGACACATACCTAGCCCAATCCTCATATGACAATTTCCCCCCGTCTCCGTTTCTGTGTTACTATGCAAACGTCTCGGGTATGAAATGATAATCAAAGTGCATTCCGTTAAATATGTTCTATAATGAATATCGAAAACAAGAAATTGCAACAGGAGTAGACCGGGCAAGAGAAAAGAGAATAAGGCCGATGCGTAATAATAAGAGAGAAACGATACAACGCATGTAATTAACGACTTTTCTCTTAATTAGAGTTTGAGGTGCGGAACAGTTTTCTTGTCAAATGCAAACGTGGTTCCATGTCAAGTGTGAGGAAATTGCATCATGTTTGTCAAGTGATTTTTGACACGACCAATCACTTGTATACGATACATTAATATATAAATATAGACTCGACTCGTAATCTTGATGATGATAGACTACAAAAATAGTCACGAACGCAACGTAATAAACAGTTCACCCGTTCGTTCCCGTTTTCTTACAAACCCATACTTGGCATATACGGAAAATGTCCTGTTTTTACAAGACCTGTCCTTGTTTCTTTCGCCGTCCTGACACCCAGGTGCCCTTTGCCCATTATGCGCCTGATGACGAAGGAAACGTGGAATTCGAAAACTTACTGGCTCAACGGGATCCTGACCCTATAGCCGCTTATCTCGATCGCACTGCTTCCAGTGGAAACAACGCACAAGGCTATTTGAGGGTGAATCCTATGTCTCCATTTGGTCGAAACGGTGCGTCTTCCAGTAGAGTTAGCGTTGTGTCAGAAGACGAAGACGACGCTGTATCTCTACCTGACGAACAAATAAGTAAATTCACAGAGCAGTTAATTGACGAACAGGTAAGCAAATTAATAGGAGAACGGAAGCGAAATATTTATAGTAAAGAACTCACGAGGAGAATATGGAATGTTCAAAAGGGATTGACAAAACCCAACAAGCATTTACACTGCGTAATATTGCCTATTGTCGGTGACAAAAAAAAACTATTGCTTAGTAAACTTGACCTTTTGCAACAAGTTCGCCTCTGTTTCAGCACGCGAAAACTTATGACAGCACGAAAACTACTTACCGTCTAGTGTCAATTAATCCACCAACCATATAATAATATAATGTCTTACATCTTTAATTCTAAAAAGTTCAAAACCAACCAACAAGCTGACGCCCGACTAGCAGCCGAAGAAGAGGAAGCTCGCCTACAAGAAGAATTGGAGATAGAGCGTAAGCGCCAAGCTGCACACCAAAAGGCCATCTCTAAAGGCTTTCTCCCTCCAATCGAATCCGTGCGCACCAAAGATACCTTCTTCAGTATCGATGATGACGATGATTCCGATGAAGAACAATACAATTCAGCTACACTAGGAGGCTCACGAACAATGGAGTTGTCTACCACGAAGAACAAATCAGAACCAAGAAAAGTAGTAGAGGAAGAAGAACAGCAGTCGGTCTTAAATAAGCCGAGAAATCCACATCAGAGATTGTTCAATGCTGATATTGACTATAATGATGTTCGGGAATTCACTGATGAGCCGTAAGTGTTTATTTTAATAGCAAGTTTTTCTGTAGAGGTTTTGGTTATGTAAAGTTAGAGTTAGGTAGGAGAGAAGGCGATATTGCAGAGAGAGAATTCAAATAATTAATTGTCCATGCCGATTGCACATCGAGATATAACTCGGAATATTCAACTAAATCTTGTAGAAAATATGTAAAAATATATTAAATTTTGATAAATCACATATATATGTTTACATATGTTATATGCATATTATATAAATATCTCGCTATTATCAACATTTATGTACATGTTTGCCAATATAACTATAACATATAACCTTACATCCAGTATAAATTTTGAGTATATTTTATGAGTCCATATAAATCAATAAAAATATACTGACTTTTAGGCCCAATAAACCAATACAAGATCAACCTACACCTCGACCCCTCCGTCTCCCAAACGACGATACTCCCGCCGAACGCGCAGCGTGATACGCGAGAATGAGCAGAAAATGGAAACTTATTCCCCCTTCTCCGCTCACATCCTCCAAGACGAAGACGAATACGAGCACGAACACGAAAACAGCACAAGTAGCGAAGAACATCAGTACAGATACGATCCGAATGCAGCAGAGGACGAAATCGATCATCCGTTCGCACACATCCTGCCGGACATTTCAGGGCGTATCGGAGCATTCTTGTTTGGAAAAAAGGATGAGAAAGAGGACGAGCGCGAGCGTGAAGACATTGACGAGACAGAGGGTTTGGGTAAGGACGGCGATTGTGGCTGCAGCAATAACAAGCAGTATTGACTATGATGCTAAACGTTTTGTTGTTGATTTAGGTCAGGTGAATATAGATATCGGGCCGAGCGTGGATAGACAGTTTGCGAAAGATATAGATGCCACAGAGCTGGGCGGAACAGAAGAACATAATACGACCTCTCTGGCGGTGCCTAGAAATGAGAACGACAAAAGCAGATCGAGGAGTAGTAGTTTCAGGAGGTTTGTCGAGGGCGTCACGAGTGTTTTTGATGCGGATGTTGATATCTGATTGTAAACTCGGCCTTTGCGAATATGTTATTTAATTAATATTTATGAGTTTACGCTTACCTCTCTGGTCGCCGACACTGTTATTGCGAATGCATTTCTTCCCTTAATTTCCTCGTGTACTATTACTGTCTTTGTTACGAAAATTAATTATACATAAATATTAAATTAAATGTGCCTTATTCTTGTATTAAAAATAAACTCTTCACAAACGATGGACGTGATGGAAGCACGCTCGTATAGTCGGTCAATTCCTAGGGGATGTCGAAAAGTGGAGCGATTACCGAGGTAAAGACATGAAAAGGCTAAAAGAGTTGTTGCATTCGAGATAATAATTTAAAAGTAGATGATATCGCTGTCTTTATCAACTGCACCTCAATTCAAGGATAGACTTTTCACGGCACCAAATCTGCTTTATTTTAAACATCAGATCATAGCAATGCACACTCAAAATAAAAAGATATGCTTTCTTTGCTTCTAAGATCGCTAACAGCACCCACCAAATACGCTTTGATAAAAAGTTCTAAAATAGCCGTCTTGGCAATTCACTAACAAACATTACCTACTTTAATAATGCCTCAACTACCAATAATTTCAAAGCATCTAATCTATCGAACAACATACGATATCTCCAATCAACAATAACAAACAATTCGGCTTAAAAAGCCAAAAGAAGAAGAAATACAAACATATGTACAGAATTTCGTATAATTGAGACGAAGAGGGACTTTGATATCGCAAGCAAAACACGAGATGGAAATGTAAGGAATTATTTACAAAAAATCTTCAAGGGGGAAAGAAGAGGGAGAATAACGAATGGACGCAGAAAAAAAAAGAGTCGCTTACGCTGTTGTACTGCCTTAAAATGACAATAAATCAACAATCAAAGCTGCTTATTATAAATTCTAACCGGTAACTAAAATGTTTCTAAATTTGCATTAATCTTTCCATATGTCAAGTTATAAAAACTTTGATCTGAGATAGTATCAATTGACAAATCTCGTTACCAAAGGTCTAATATTATTAAATCGAAGCAAATTAAAGCTTAAATACATATTTGGAGCATTTACGAATATATATATGTACACTTTGACCACAGAAGACAATGCCAAAGGTAATGAAAGGGGGGGAAAGCTCAATTCAACAAAAACAGGGAACACACTAAATCCAATAACAAATTTGATCTCAATTAGCACATTGATACCATCAACATGCCGCATGCCCGTTCAATCGGTCGACTTGTTCTCAGTAAGCACATCCCAACTCTTTAGCAAACCAATCCAAAAACACGACATGATACAACCCCTTCCACTTGTGCAAAAACTTTGGCTGCAAGAAATTATGACTCAATTGATGTTGCCAAGAGATAATCTCGACCTTCCAGCCTCTGTCCAATGCCATGACGATACATTTTCTAAAACCACCTTGGAAATACTCTCCGTCATTCCCATCCCCCGATGCCAGCACCAATGTCGCGGGTGGGTGATATTCTAATAAACTTTGAAGAATCTTCAAGTGCAACAACTCATCCACACATTGCTCTCGCTCAATAGGCGTATACTGTCCGCGACGGCGAGCGTCATGCGTCTCGTCTGAATTGGGTTTCATGACCCGCTTTAATATGGAGACTTCGTAACCAGCCGCCTGGGCTTCAGTCAAGTCCTGATGAAGCGGACTAGAGGCTACGAGGACCTTGCGCGTTACATTGCGGCCGCGCTCGAGGATTGTGAATAGGGCATCGTAGGACAACTTTGGTTGATTTTGTGCTTCCGGATTTACACTATCAATAGGGTTGACAGCATTGCCGTTTGCTTTTCGTGATTTAGAATTCCTAGCAATTTGTCCGCGGTAATAAGAATAGAATCCCATGAGAATGTTTGAATTATCGATGAATACGTGAATGGGATCTGTCGACAATCGAATTGGAATAGGAATCGGTGTTGCATTTCCTGAAGGTGGAGTAGGTAATACTGGTTTAGGCTTCTGCTTTTGTTTTGGAGACGAGATGACTGCTTGTGAAAATGTTGGTGTAAAGTGGACGACTTGCGGCGGGGAAGAATCAAAATGGACTTTTTTGTGTTTTTCCTAAAGAAATCAGAGAAAGAGAAAATATGTAATCAGTAAGTTATAAAGTCTTTTGTACACATAGTTTTAATAATTGCAATAATGTAGGGCATGCGTAACAAACTATTTCAAACTTGGTTAGCAAGCATTCTTCAAGACACATACCATTTTCTCTTCCCCGCTCTCATCATTCTCTTTCCCACTCTGATCCTTCTCTTCCGTGTTTCCTTCGCTCGCTTCCTCATTCTCTTTCTTTTCCTCTTTCTCGATTGCTTCCTCTTTGTCTGCAATGGAAATTCTCTGTGCGTTTCCTTTTTCCGCTTTTTTTAGAATTCGTTTGTTTTCATTCTTTTCCTTTTCCTTGTCTTTTTTATTTCTGTTCTTCTGCTTATCTTGCTGGTTTCCGTTTCCGGTGGAGTTTCCGGTGGAGTTTTCTATAGCCTTCTCATCCTTCTTCCCACCCTTCTTCTTCTTCTTCTTTCTCTTCCTCTTTCCATTCGCACCTTCTCTTTTCTCTTTCTCGTTACCGCTACTTATATCGTCTGAAGGGTGAAGCAATACTCTAACCCTCTTCTGTACAGCTTTCATTGTTCGTTCTATCATTTCCTCTTCTGAGGAGTATTCAGAGGACGAAGAGTGTGGTAGCTGAGGGGGGTGTGAGGAAGCTGTGGGAAATAAGCTCGATATGTCAGCCGAAGGATCTATAGCTAGCCATTTCTGTTTTTCCGACTCCAGATAATGCAACAGTGTTCCGAAATCACCAAGGTTGGGTGCAGGCGGTGTTGGGGAATAGCGCGGGGAGGGCGAATTCATTGTAATTGTGTAGGTAGGGATGAATATGTTGTGAATGGTGTATGTTATGTATGCACTTCAAAAGAGTTGCTTCAGTTGTCTATAAATCGGTATCAATAGCAATTCTTTCACTTTCTCTGTATACTACGTTGGTGTGGTTGTTAAGATAAGCTCTCTTCATTTGGGGCGTTCTGCGACAGACCAGACAATGTGTAAAGTAGCGCCACATAAATATTTCAGGGGCTAGGCGCCACTGACCTGTCTCACCCTGTACCAAATAAGTGTGAATAATCCCATGTGGAGCGGACTGCGGAACTTTCGTAGTAGGGAAAATTTAATTTAAAAAGGAAAATCATTATCGACATTTAAAGAGAATTCATGTCACTGAGTTTAGAGACTTTTATTAACTAACTGTATGAGCTGCTGCGGACGTTGGTTATAGGCGTCAACACAATATTGACCGATTCCACATATGTTTATCAATATTAAAGAAATATTTATTATTCTTATTATTCTTAGTAGCCGAATAGCCAATGCATGGCATATTGGTGATTTGCGGTGTTTTATGGTCAATTAGTGTGATGCAACGATAATGATGACACGCGGGAATGCACCTGTCCTACCTGTCGAAAAAGTGACACATCATTTGGATTCCGCACAGCTACGCATCGTAATAGTCGAAAAAGCGACATGCGTGTCGAAAAAGCGTCAAACCAATAATCATAGCAGTAGTTGGACGTTGCTAAAATTAGATCAAATAGTAGTTCGAAAGACATAAAAGTTGGTCACAGTTTCCTCTGCATGTATTGTAGATAGCTTTAGCGAGCACCTTGTTGTAAATCCTTCGCGATAGTAGTTGGTACACAGCAGGGTATATATAGTTATCGCATATTCTTACACACTTTTTATGGGAAAAACGACTAAAGCCGGTGGCTAAAAAAAGTCTATTAGTCAAATTCAACATCATTCTCTAAAGAAAAATTATTGTCTATTTCACAGCCATTATCTAATTCATCATCAACTAAAAACGAATTATCATCAGAATTTACATAATCTTTTGCTATCCTAATGGTTTTCTCCATAATCCAGTAATAACCTGCGAGTTTACCTTGTAAATTAGCAAACCAATATCGAAGATATTGACAGCGAAATATAACGTTATTTGATGACTCGTGTAAAATATTCCTTTTTTCACCCCGGCCAAAGTAGTAACCTAAACTGTGTAACATACGAAGAAGTTGCCACTTAGAAACTTGGAAATATTTATAAGCACTACCGATCTTTTTTTTTTTCAATCGCTGGAAACATCATAGAAAAGTATGCAGAATGATAGATATAGTATTGCTTTATTACATACAAAAAATTTGACGTTGATTTTGCTAGTAGCGATTGAAACCTCTTATATTGAGGTATCTACATTTATGGACCATAACAATGTTGTGATGAATCGTAAAATAACAATTATCGTTATAGTTTATATATTATCATTTGTTAGGTTCTTCGTCTTTTTTTAGGGGATTATTACGTTTTCGCCTCAATCTTGCATGTTTGACTTTAAGTTCCGAGCAATAATCTGTAAGATTGCTCAATCGGTGCTGTAAAATCAAATTGATAAGCATGGTGATATGTATATTAGTAAGGAAATAAGTAAATAACAAACCTCTAAGGAACGCAACATCACATGCACTGGCTCATATGCTGGTGGCGTTGATGCAGGTAAAAATATTTTATCAATTATTCCAAAACGATAGATTCCATATGTCCGTATATCCATCGCATAAAGGTTCATCTGTAATCCTGTGATATAAGAAATATCTTGTTGATAATCTTTTTTCAGAAATATCCATACGTTCATTCTGAAAAAAAAAATACCTATTACTTGACATCCAAATACGACAATTTTCATATAATCCTCAGGTAATAATCCAGGAAATGTCTTTATTATTCTGTTGATCATATCCCGCATTCCAACCATTATTTTTAATTTATCGATCCAAATTTTCTTAGGGCATCCTGCTGGAAGTCCGCCTGAAACTTCGCATATAAAACCTTCTAGGACTGGTCCTGTTGGCAAAGTAATGATTAAATTTGTTTTCTGACCAATACGGGCACCGTCATCGTTAGGATCTTGACTTGCTACTAATTGCTGCTCACACCTAAAATCAAAAAATAAAATGTTAAAATGAAATTAATAACATATAATCTGAACCTTTGAAATTTACCAAAGTTTTCGGAACTTTTCTTGATTTTGGTCTATACTCATTCTAAAAGCAGGGGCCACAATGTGAATCATGAGCTCCCTTTCATTAATCGGCAATTTAAGATGCTCAAGGTATGCTTTTAATATTGTCAAGTGCGCATGCAATATTGGTGCCTTTTGTTGTGCCTTTAAATCCTATTAAATAAAAGATTTCGTATAATTAATGGAACAAAGATAATGACTAAATGGATATAAAACTGTTATTACCTCGATATTGTCAAAAAAATCAATTTCGGACTGGTCAAGTTCCACCATTTTCCATGCTATATTTAATTGGAAATCATTTACAAGCTCGTCCCATTTTGAGACAAACTTTTTCTTTGTTGGCTTGTGCTGTCCAGTCAAATCAAGAACCCCCCAATACTGTGGACTTCAGTGAAGATTGTAAATTTCATAAACAAATTCTCTTGCAAAATCATTATACAAAGATAATACTTACTGAACTTCGGGACTTTTTTTCGGCAAGGAATCACGTAGGGAACCAAAAAATTCCACAACATCAATATCATCGATTTTGAAGGAATTCCAGCTATTAATCACTGAAATTGTAGGCGTCAGGCATGCCGGCATAGTTTCTTCCTCTCTTCCAATTAGTTCTACGTTATCCATAAGACTGTTAAAATAATCGGGATCTTTCATACAAGTCGATTTATTGTCAGAAATATGATCGTCATCATTTGTATCTTTATCATCATTGTCATCACTTGTGATATAACAGGTATCTTCTTGTATTTCGAGAGGCATTGATTGTTGTGCCTCTGTTCCTGATGGGGCAGAAGGTTGTAAAAAAGCCTGGAGATTATTTGTCTGTATAACGACATTAACTGATTTCTGAAAGAAGACCGTGTCAATTTGAATGTTCTTATTTGCTACAATATAAGTTTGAATGCATATTAACGTACCTCAACCACAGAATTAATGATTATCTTATTTTCGAGATTCCTTTTAGCATCAAAAAATTCCCGACACGACTGTATAATGGCCTTGCCAGACAATGACTGTAATAATAGAAATTATGAGCTAAATTCAATCTAGTATCAATAAAGCAAGGGAAAGTGACAAAAATACCTTTAACCATTTTACGTGATTATCACAAAACGATCGGATCGATAACGGAATGGAAGATAACTTGTTTATACGTTTGAGGCTTTCTATGAAGTTTGTGAGTATTTGATCGAAGGTAAGATCACTGTCTGGGCCTTCGATAATATCATTAATATAGGTCTCCAGCGACCACTTAGAAGCTGGGAACTTCTTAAAGAAATTGTTAACGTTGCGTGTTTTCAGTGGAATAAGAAAGTTAGAGAACTTAGAACCCATAACTCTTGGCTCAGGACCTATGGATGACATTTTGAGAGAGAACGCGGAATTCAAAAACTGTAAAATTGTTTTTTATTGATGTCGAGCCAAATGTCACGGGAGAGCGGAATGACACGTGACTCGTAAGGATTTTTACTAAGAGTTGAACCAGACTGTCAGTTAGTGACCTTTCGTTTAGGCTTTTACGCTGACGGCACTTCCGTTTGCCGGATCGCGACACTAAATCCTAGATAGTTAATTGCTCTCGAGATAATTAGTAACGACTATCTGCCGATGGATTATTTCCGTTTTAAAATACGCCTAATTATTAATGCGTTATACTCAACAATTAATTATCTTAATTCGCTACTCGGGACAAGAATCGATTATTCTTCTCCGATATAGGGATTTGTGATTTTAACTATGTCGAATAATAATAATTCAGGGAAATACGTAAAATAGTTTGTGATCAGAGTAATGCGATACTCGTTTATTGATAAGATAATAAAGAATCGGGAAATAATAATAATAAAAGAACTTGAACACTCGAAACACACCGAAACTAGCTGACTCCTACGCTGCTTTTATATCTTTCGAACTACTAATTGTCGCAACGTATTTCTAAACTACGATTATTGGTTTGTTTCATCTATTAATCGCCTCAACCGTTACGCAAAGATCTGCAATATCTGCCGATCGAAATCTCTAAAAAAACTTCTCCAAGCGTCTCGGTACTTTTTTGCAACGGTCGTTTGAAAATCAAGTTATTGAATAAGGTGTCACTCAAATACACTCCACGAACGTCCGGACAGAGTTGATGTGACAGAAGAAATAAAACTAGCTATAAGTCTTGTCTCCCAAAGATATTTCTAGCGGCATGGACGAGTATTATCCTAATCTTACACAAAAACAAGTATACTATTGGTGGACGCGACAAGTTCAAGCTTCGTATAAAAAGGATAATGACCAGCTATTGTCTGCTAAAATGTTGTTGGAAGAAACTCAGTTCGATGTCCTTTTGTTTAACTGCGAGGCGGGTATAGATTTGTAACAAATTTTTTCAATCAGTTAAAATCCAACAGCGAAGTAATTTTTGAGGCAACGTGTAAGCAAAAATTAAAACATTTATTCTAATATTAATTGTTTTTAACTCCAACAAAAACGATGATGTTAATACTTTAAATTTTTCTATTACTTATAGACAAAACAAATGCACTAGGATTTGAGCTGTATGCCGTCATTAATAGTTTATCTCTTTTTGGATAACTCGAAAAAAGAAGATGGTGTTCAAACCTCAATTCTTTCCGATTTTTTTAATGCCTTACATTCGAAGGAACTACGTCCGGACTTCTTTCTTACAGACAAGGACTGGGCACAAATTAATGCTGCGAGTCGAGTTTGGCCTTCAACAAAGATTCAGTTATGTCTTTGGCATGTAAAAGAGCAATTGGAAAAAGGCTTGCAGACAGTTTGATTTCGAAAAGAAATAATTACAATGCTTGCAGCAGCAAAAGCAGATGCTGATTTTATCGACGAAAATTTCCATCCTTTTGTCATCCGTTCAGAAGTCAACTGTGACCCACGATTATGCCCCAAAGAATTCCGCGACACAATTCTGGATATGATAGTTTATCATTTTCACATTCACTCCATGATACCAAATGACCAAAATCAGTATTTTACAGTGGAAATCTGGTTTACATCTGTGTTCAAAAAGATCTTCGAAATGTATGGGCATACATGTGGACAAATTCCTGTTGAAACGGTCTATAAACTCGTCTCGCTTGTACCCGAATTCAGTGATTTACCAGAGAGTCTTATTCAAGAAGTGTCATTGACCGTGAAAATCTTAGAAAAATTCCAAAAGACTTCTCACTCTATTAAGCATTATCAAGCTTACGAAAAAGAAGAAGGTTTTATGAAAAATCTTAACGCTGTTAAACTTAACATCGTTGAAAAAGAAGATAGTAGCAAGAAAGGAGACGCTAAAGAAGGAGAAAAATCTCTTGCAAAGCGCATTGAGCAAATCACGGTCGAAAAAGACTGAAGGAGCTAGTGTTTTAATTTAATGAGGATTTATGTTAATCAGATAAGTTAGTCACATGATAAAATCTTCCTCCGCAGTTAAACAAACCCATGATCGGCACTAATTTTAGTTTA